AAAAAAAAAAAAAAAAAAAAACCATAAAAAACAAAACACAGAAACAAAAAACCATTAAAAAGTGCCAAAAGACATTAACAGACACTTCTCAAAAGAAGACATACAAGTGACTAACATGGAAAAATGTCCAACATCACTAAATCAGATAAATGAAAATCAAAACCACGATGAGTTACCATCTCACACCAGTCAGAATGACTATTATCAAAAAGTCAAAAAAATAATAGATGCCAGTGAGGCTGTGGAAAACAGGGAATGCTTCTACATTGCAGAAGCCAGTGCAATGTAGAATGTGCCTACACTGATGGAAATGCAAATTAGTTCAGCCACTGTGAAAGTGGTTTGGAGATTTCTCAAAGAAGTTAAGTAATCCCATGACTGGGTATACATACAAATGAAAATAAATTGTTCTACCGAAAAGACACACACACTCACATGTTCAGCACAGCACTATTCACAATAGCAAAGACATACAATCAACCTAGATGCCCATCAATGGTGGACTGGAAAAAGAAAATGTACATACTACACAGCCATAAAAAAGAATGAAATCATGTCCTTTTCAGCAACGTGGATGCAGCTGGAGGTCATTATTGTAAGTGAATTTACACAGGAACGGAAAACTGAAGACCACATGTTCTCACTTATCGGGGGAACTAAGCAATGGGTACACATGGACGTAAAGATAAGAACAACACTTGGCACTACTGGAGGGAAGAGGGGAGGGAAGGGGTGAAAAACTACCTGTTGGCACTATACTCACTACCTGGGTGACGGGATCATTCATACCCCAAACCTCAGCTCACAAAATATAACCATATAAATAAGCTGCACATGTACTGCCTATGTCTAAAATAAAAGTTGAAATTATTAAAAAAGAAAAAAAGAAATGTGAGTTAGGCAAGTCCAGATTCCAGCTGATCCCTGAGAAATGTACTTTTCTCAAAGTCAATGAATCCAATCTTTAATGGATCTGGGATACTCTGACCAGGTCCTGTTATGAGTTCCCTGTGTTATCATTTTAATTAAAAACCTCAAACTGATCAAGCATGAGAGGATACTTCCTGCTCTCAGAGACATTATTTCTATTTTGTATTATCCTTTTTTTTCTGGATATAAATAAATTCATATCCAGTAATTTTTCTGGATATGAATAAAAGTGTATCTCAGAAAAACATTTTGAAAAACCTTATAAAATTAAAACCTTAATTACTTTTCATCAAAATTTTATGACCAACAAAAATGTCATTCATGTATATTATCACACTATCTATTCTTCACATTTTATAGTGATATGTATTTATACATACTGCAGTTGGGAAATAGGGAATACTTTTTTGGTCTTCCATGGTAGGCTGCAGGTTTTAAAAGCAGAAGTCCTGAACCTCTGAAGGTAACATTGGAAAAATATTCATTTGAAATCTCTATTATAAAAAGAAAAATAAAAAAGAGGCCAAGTGCTGTGGCTCACACATGTGTCCCAATGTTTTGGAAGGCTGAGGCGAGAGGATTGCTTGAGATCAAGAGTTCAAGAACAGCTTGGGCAACATAGTGAGTCCCTGTCTCTACTAAAAATAAAACTAGCTGAGCACAGTGGCACACACTTGTAGTCCCCAGCTACTTAGGAGGCTAAGGTGGGAGAACTGCTTGAGCCCAGCAGATGGAGGCTGCAGAGAGCTTGATCATACTTCTGCACAGCAGCCTGGGCAGCAAAGTGAGATCCTGTATCAAAAAAAATTTCTTTTTAAAAGGGAGAGTAATTTCTTTTAGGGTGCCAGGCAGCAGGTAAAACAAAGTTTGGGTTTTGCTTCAAAGAGTTTTTCTCAAAGAGTAGGGATTTATTTCATTACATGCAACATAGAGAAACACCTGTTTTTATGACAATTTGAATTCAAAGTAATATGTTTTTCTAAAATTCAGTGTATTTATTTGGACACATGGATGCTCCTTATGTTTTTGTTAACATATTAAAGGAACTAGCACTTTGGCTGCAAGAACAAATAAGAAATATAAATCCAACTTGTTTTTAATTTGGGTCTAGACTAACAACTAAAGAACCATTCAGCAAATAACTGCTTAAAACATTTATATATCCTATGAAACTGCAATTAGTTAAGAGACTACTGATTCTAAGAACTATGATACCAGGAAGGGACTGAGGAAGAACTGTTAACACTGCATGCCAAATTCAGAGCAAAATATCTATTATCTCCTTCTCACTTCTGCAGTATCTATAAATAAAGTAGAGGAAGGGGATAAGAATTATATGAGTAATGTTAAATAAAAGTGCATACAGAACTGAGAAATGTTTTTCATGGAATCTGCCACTTAGTTCAATAAAATGCTCATAAGGAAAATAATCACTTAAGGCAAAAGACTAGTTATACTGTTGCTGTTCAGAACTTGAGAGCAACATGAACACCAATCAAATTCTCTGGTGTAAACTTAATTGTCTTAAAACATGTTATTCTGTAAGTTTACATCTATGCCTTAAAAATTCAAGGCAGAAAGTAAAATCATTTAGAAAGCCAGAAATTCCATCAATACATCTAGACAGATGTTTGCTTGTAGTTTTTGGTATCCAAAACCTTTTTTCCACACATCGCACAGATGCCTTTTTTGTAGGCACAGCCCTGGCAGTAATGAGAACCTGGTTGGTGCACAGAACTTTTACAAATTCTACAAGTGGAGAACTTATTCTTTCCATATGGATCAAATCTAGAAATTTTTTTTTAAAGAGAGAGAATTGTATATTACACTAGAAACACTTAAATAACCCCACTTACTCAACACACAGGATTAATCCATGCTCTCCATCCCTCCATCAACCTCTACAATTGATGGGTATAGAGCTACTGTCTGATATGCCTGTACATCTCCACTTTGCTGCATCCATGTGAGATGTATAAGGAGTCAATTGTACCATATTTATTCCCAACCTGTTCATATCCATTCTATCTGTCATTCTATTTGCGAGACATAAAAATTATGGAAACTGATGAAATGTGAGAGCAAAAGGGTGACTGATTCCATAAAGTGACTACTTTAGGATGACTAGGAATCATTAGAATTGCTTTTGAATTAGGTACGGGTATAACAACTGTTGAAAAAAACTGGGGGAAAGTCACTAGGAAAGGAACTCCACACTTCAAGTGTCAGTTTTTGCTCCACTTTAAAGATACTGAACATACTCTTGTGATTTTTTTAGACAACAATCATGTAGAGCACTTATCAGTAAGTGCTTATCAAAAGGCTTTGTTTCAATACCAAATAATTAATACATCTACAGTTCTGTGCTTTAATTTAAAATAAAATAAGGTATGTGTAGCTTTTAATGACTGCCTATATTAGCCGACATTTTTAATTAACTGACTCAATCCTTTTGGATAAAAGGGCTTCCACTATATAAAAATGCCATATTATAGTGACTGGAATGAAAAAAAGAAATAGTTCCCCCTAAAATGGCAATAATACTCTGATTTAAGTGTGCTTCCCTGATCACAAAATGAGTTTTTGTAATGATCCTCGTATACTAGATAATAAACACTGTCCTAGACCTGGTGTCTTCTCTTGAGGTATAGCACACCAGCAGCCCATTTACAAAGGTTAATTTTTCCAAACCACAAAGAATATCACTTTACTCTCCACAAGAGAAGACAGGTACTCTTCTTCCTTTCAGTAAGTTCAATTTGTTTGGACATGTATTTCTAGAGGTTATTTTTTCTTAAAATAATATTATTCAAAGATTCACATTTTAACCTTGGAAATCTTACAACTGGCAGAGTTTCTTCCTAAAGTAACAATGCATCTTATAAATAACAGTACCATAGATTCAAAGCAATACTGTAGTACATTTTCCAAAGTGAGAGAGTAACAGCTACTTTTTAATGGTATCAGAGTAAGTTTGAGAGCATAAAGGAACTGGAAGTATATAAAATCATAAAATCTATACAAATATTAGCTCAGTCAATAAAAATCGAATGGTCCTCAAAGACATCAATAAGTCAACAACATATAGTGTGACTCTGCATTAAAGATCCTATTATGTGCCCAGCACTGTATATAGTTAAGGCTTTATTGTTGTTATTTCTAATCCTCAGGATGACATCATAAAACAGGTATTCATTCATTCAGCAAATATATACTGAGTGCTTACTATGTACCAATTACTGTTCTAAATACCAAAGATCAACATGATAGACAAAGCCCTTGCCCTCATCAGATGGCATTCTAGAGAGAAGAGGTAAACAATAAGGATACAGACAATCCAATAAAACAAGCAAGCATTTCAAATAGTAGCATTATAGAGACAATTCTAACAGGATATGAAGGCAGAGATGAGGAAAAAGAAAGAAGAGGTTAGTTTAGAGGCTGATTAGGGAAACTTCTCTGAGAAGTGACCCTTCAGCTGAGACCCAAACATCAAGAAGGAGCCAGATTTGTAAGCTCTCAGTGAAGACCTCTAGGAGACAGCAGCAAGGACAAATCTCTTTGGATGGGAGGCGGCTTGGCAGAACTAATGAGGACGGCATATGATGAATGAGGAGGAGTATGGTACAATATGAAGTCAGAGGGGGAGATACAGTGAAGAGGAATAAGGTAAAACCAGCAGGTTGTAACAGAGAGCTTGGTTCTGAGTGCCAGGAACCACCTAACTCTACATTTTATTGCAAATGGAATGATGCAAATCAAATTCACTCCAGTAGGCTTAATATTAAAAGAGTGAAAAATTTATATGACTTGTCTATGGATCCTCTTACCCACCTTGCTTTTTTTGAAGTCAAAGCTTTATTTTCATTCAGCTTTCTTCCACCACTTTCTGTATCAAAATAAAAGTTATTTTAGTGGGTTATTTCTATACATTTAACATATAACATTAAGAAGTTCGTTCTCTGACTTTCTGCCAAACTAGTAGCCTCTACCTAATTTTTAACAGTCAGGTTATTAAGACACTGCTTAAAAAGAAAACATTTATTAGAGAAACAAAAATTTGTATAAAATACAATAATTTTATTTCTCAGACTCAAGGTAGTACTTTAGGAATGGGTCTATATTTACTTTATATAGTGTAAAATCTAGAACCCACTACTTCAGTGTCATAGACCTTGAATATAATGAAAATATTTCTTTTCTTTCCCTTCAAAAACATATTTTATGTATTTAATGATAATGAAGGTAAATACTTCACTGTAAGTAATTAATGATAATGAAGGTAAAATGGGTTAAAGGATTTATTCAAGAATATAAAAACCAGAAGATTTAAAAAAAATTCTCCTCAGAAGAGTGGAGAAATTAAATGCAGTCTCTAAATAAGCTGAATCAAATCAAATATTATGATATTGTCACCACTCGACAATCATTTAATAATTTTGCTATCTCCTGATATTACGAACCTGTGCAAGTAACTGAGAACTAAGTAAAAGATATTAAATAACTTGGGGACCCAGTATTCTTTCATGTTTAATATATAAAATACTTTGAACACATTTCATTTTACAAATAATGTAAAAGATAAAATATTCACAGGAGTATCTGGTTAAATTCCTATTTTCTAAAAGAAGAAATACCTGTGGTATTCCTAGCACCATCTTTCCATGTATCTGGAGTGATAACAGTACCAAGTTTCTTTTCACCTGTTAGAACAAGATAGTAAAAAGCAAATTAAAATTTACTATTTCATAAGTGCACTACATTGTGCCTAAGGTTCACAATGGTATCAACAGTCCTATTACTGTAGGAGCCTGTTAATGCTGAGAGAGCAGTCAGTGAACTGAGACTTCTATTAACTGTGGGCAATGAATGACTGATCCACAGTAAAATCCGTAGGATAATAAGATGGCTTATAATAAGCTTTCTCTGTTTGTTTATACTTTAAACAAATCTGGTAAGTCTATTTGTTCCATATATATTTACTAAGCATCTATGGTGTATAAACTTATACAAAGTGCTGAAAAAAATAAAGTGACGAATCAGACAAAATTTTAAAGAGATTATATAGTACACTAATTTCTTTAACAGCAATCTTTAATCTGTGTTCCACAGGTCGATCTTAAGAGATATGTGAGGTAGAGTTGTACACAAACGGTTTTTTTTTTTTTCCTGGCAAGAGTCTATAGCTTTCAGATTCTCAGAGAGAAGCTGAGAATCATTCAACCAAAAAAGACTCATTCAACCAAAATATAAGCTAAAAATAAATGGTATAATAACTGAGAGCTAAAGTACTAGGAGAAATTCCATGCAGGAAGAAATAACCCTGGCTAAGGAAATCCAAGAAAGTTTGGGGAGAAGGCAAGAGAGAGGATTTGAATATGTGGCAATAGGACTGTGAACAAAAAGGAGTAAAGAGGATAATGGCAGACTCGATAAAGGACACATTCTGAGGAAAGGCATGGAAAGCTCCGAGTACACATGGGCACAAAGAGCAGTTTTGTTTGGTCAAAGTGTGAAGAGGGTAAGGATCAGTGAAGATGAAGCTGGACAAATAAGTTGGGGCCTTATTGTAGAGGGTCCTGAACGCCAGGCTCCAAATAGAGAATCCCCACATTATTCTCCGCACACTTAGAATTTATTAAATGTGTTAAATTAGGGAATACTTGCACTTACGTTGATGTTCACTTCAAACATCTTCTGGGCTTACTCTAAGCCATATTCTGGCATAATGACTAACGAGAACGAGTAAGACGAGGTCCTTGGTCTTTGGTTCTACTGTCTAGCATTTGTCAGGAGTACAATACTTGTTACATGAATAAAAAGGAAAGGTCAGGAATTGCAAGAGAGAAAGGTGTCGTTGGGGTTTAATTGAACATTTTTATACGGGAGGGGGGCTGATGAGATCTGGGGCTGGCGGAAGGCAATGGAATTAGACAAGGAGATGCAGAACTAAGACCATTCTGAATACAAAATACATAATAGGACTATATGATCTTTGGGGAGGTGCAAAATGGTCAAAGGGTAGAGCAGAAGGACAGCGACTAGAATCAAAGATGTGGGCGAAGAAAAAACAAAAGAGAAGGCAGAGTTCCCGGGAGAGTTCATTTAGGTTCTCCCAATCTCTTCCTCCCGCAGGAGGGGCCCCTTAACTCACATTTTTCGCAGACCATCCTTCCCCACGACGGTTCCCCTAGCCGCAACAGCAGCAGTGGTAACAGAAGCCTGAAAACATCAAAACTAAAATCGGGAAAGCTTCCTCTTCCGGGCTACGTCAACCCACTTCCGGCTTCTAAGCACGCCGCTTGCGTCTAGCCTAAACTTGGAAAGCCGCGGGAGGAATGAACGGGAGCGTCTAGGCGGGGCTGCCCCATTTGCCCGCCCCTCTCTTTCTGCTACTGGCTGTGCGGCCGTGGGTCTCCGCCCCTTAACCTTGCGCTTGCGCGTGGGCCTGGGTAGCACGTCGTACCTGATGGTAGGAGGCAGTAGTTCCCCGCTTCCCTTCCGCGGGCGGGAGAGTTAGGTAAGCCCCAATGTACGCCCCCGGCGCTCCTGCCTCCTGGGCTGCAAGCCTCCCCCGCGAACTGCTGTAGCAGCCGTGAGCCTTGGCGTCCCGGCCCGCCCGCGCTCGCCCTGAGCTCGAGCGCCACTCTTCCGGCGTACCCTGATGGACAGACACCCCTTTCGGATCCCAGTTTCTGCCCCTGTCCCCCAGTTTTCCCTTGTCTCCAACTCCCGTGTTCTTTGATCCTGCCTCTTAGCTGGTTCCTCGCTGCCCACTCTCGCGCCGGCCTAGGCTCGGGCAGAATCCCGAGCGACCCGGGTTGGGGTGGGGCTGCCATGAAGGTGCAGAGATGCCCGCGAGGGCTCCTCTGGGGGCCGCTCAGAAGCGCCTTCTCTCTGCTGCGGTGCCTGGCTAGGTGGGCCGGGTCATGCCCATGGCACCCCTGTAGGCGTCCTGGGGGCACGCCAGGGCCTAACACGGTGCTGGTTTCCAGGAGAGTTAGTTTCCCACTTTACCTACTCTGGTTCCTTCATTCGTTCAGCAAACATTTGAGTTTGGTTCTTGCTCACTGTATTACGTTGATCATCTGCTGTTGGCAGCTGCGATTCCGAGGGTGGCTCAGAAAAATGGATGAAGGGTCTGTTGTGAGGATGGATTCCTGATGATTGCCTTCCCTCAATCAGCTTAAGATAGAATCTGTGGGAAACTTTCCCTTTGTCCCTTCTTGCCATCCGTTTCCTTCTCCATCTCTGTATTTCCTTATACCAGAGAGAGGGCTGTAGCTCTTGGGACCTTGGACCTCCTCACCTGTTTGTCCTGTTTCCTTATCAGTAAAGTATCTGTCTTTGAAAAGCATTGGGTGAATTAAGTGAGAGCTATTATAAGGCCCAGGTGTTTTGAAACAAATACATTGCCCATAGGAAATTGACTTTATGACTTATTTGTAGGGGTTGAAACATTTTGGACAATGGTAAAAATCATTATTGCATATGCTCTTCTTGTTTTTCATTAGCTAGCCACCCAGGAAAACACCATGAAAGATACCGATATCAAAAGACTACTGTATACCCATCTTTTATGCATATTTTCAATTATCCTAAGTGTCTTCATTCCATCACTCTGCTTGGAGAACTTCTCAATATTGGAAACACACTTGACATGGTTGTGCACCTGTTCTGGTTTTGTAACTGCTGTCAATCTAGTACTATATTTAGTAGTGAAACCAAATGCATCCTCTAAAAGAAGTTCATTATCACACAAGGTAAGGCTTATTTCTAGATAACTGATTTTTTGATGGAGCTAGTGTTTCTTTTAATGAAACAATGAAGTATTCATCAAATCTTCATTAGGTTATTTATAGTGAGTAAAGGGAACCTGATTTTTTCCCCCCAAAATTGGTAGCCTGTTACTTGCTAGAAGGCTGCCCACAATGATTGATTGATCCTTTCCTTGCATTAATTGTGGAATTATGACTTCTTCAGTGCATATTATAATATTGTGAGCCTGATTAATCATTGTTTTATGTCACCATTGAAAATAAATACATATGACAGTCTATCTTTCAACCTTATTCAATAAGACACTGCAGTTTATTTATTTTTGCATTTCTGAAAGCCACTTAATGGGTTTTTCAGAAGTTGCAATATAAGCCTGTGGTAATGCTTGTTTCCCACATGGCCTTCCTTGACTAAACAGTTTTCAGATATTAGAATTAATTTTCCAGAATATTCACTGCAGTAGATATTCACTTGGCTATTACTAATAAAGTCCACACTTAACATTATTTTCTACTGTGTGTTAGCTCTGTTAGGTCATTTACTGCCTATGATTGGAAAAGCTGAATGTATGCGTTATGTTCATATATTCTTAAGCTCCAAATCAAGAAGGTCTCATGTTTATTTGTAGATGTTCAGGTCTTTTCTCATATGGGTCATGTAGTATGAGTGTGATTTCGAGAATTATTTAGTCTTGCTTTTTTAGTGCAGTTTTCCCAGGAATTTTGTTTTAAAATGAAAAAATTGTTTTCTGCAGATATTTCCTGTATCATTGCATAGTACTGTATTTTTTGTATCCTAGCTCTCTGATATCAGTCAATATTTAACGACAGGCCCATACATTACCATGGAAACAGAATCTCTTTTTGACTCATGTGGACTTGATGGGTGGAATATGGGGCGGGGTGCTTTTTTAGTCTGTATTGAGGGCTGTGTATGTGACTGAGTACAGGACATGTGATCTGACTTGAGTATACCCAAGAACATTCAAACTGTTTTACACATTATGGGAACAAGTTGTGTTTGTAGATAAAATGGAATAATTTATTGTCCTTTAGGAATTATCTTGAGTCTTAAGAGTATTCATTTCTCTTTTAGGTAACCAGATTTTTGAAGTGCTGTATCTACTTTCTTATGTCTTGTTTCTCCTTTCATGTAATTTTTGTTCTGTATGGAGCACCACTAATAGAGTAAGTTTGAAATTTTTACCTGAAATTTATATTTTAAAACATTCATTTACCAAACTGTATGCTAATTCTTAGCAACTGAAGAAAATCCATGATGTGTATCATTAAGGGATCAAGTAAGGACACCAACATCATTAGCAATGTTATTCTTTTTAAAAACAGCAGAATACCTTAATTTATTAAGTACTCTCATTACCTAGCCTTCTATTATCCAATTGCATGTTGGGAGAAAGGAGAGTAGATGAGAAACTGTATTGTACCAATAATATTTGGCCCTTAGAACCTCTGAGAGAACGTACTATGATCATATGTGTAAGTTAGTTATAATTAGCATATCAAGTTCTTATAAATGTGATTCTGAAGTATTTGAATGGAGTTTTTCTTATCAAAAGTCAACAGATTCCTGTATTCAAATATTAACAAGCCAGTTTAAAGGTAAAATTTAACAGTTTTTCTGAACTAATTTCAAATTAGTAGAAACCAAATTCATGAATGTTTCTTACATAATGTTTATCATAGCTTGAGAAGCTTCAGTTTCGCAGTGATTAATAATCATGGTGAAATGAGTGAGGAGATATATATACATATACACACATATATGTGTTGCTAAGTATACCATTATATATATATATTTATACATAGTTTTACATATACACACTAAACTAACAGGTTATTGTTTTTTAGATGGGAGAGAACAAGACCTTTGTAATGGAAAAGCGTGGTTTCTGTCTAATCCATTTTAAAGTAGAATGAATGTATCTGGCACAGTAGTTCTCAAAATGTGGTTTTCAAGCCAGCAGCATCAGCATTTTATCAAAATGCAAATACTCAAGCTTCAGTCAGAAACTGTAGGGGTAGAGCCCCTCGATCTTTAGTTTATCCAGCTCTCCAGGTGGTTCCAATATAGGTTAACATTGAACCACTAGTTGTAGAGAAAGTTCCAGAGACTATTGAGGAGAAAGCTAACTGTCTAGAAATGGATTTTGTTTGTATGTTTTTGCAATGGAAGTCTCAGCATGGATCCTAGGGTCTTTAACACTTCTGAAATCTATGATTAAAGCCAAACATTTGCTAGATTGTTTTTTAAAGCTGCATGTTGTTAGTAAAATTATTTATAGTCATCATTTTGGTGGCACTCATGCTACATTTCAAAGGTAAAGCATAAGAAGATATTTTACGTTTTATTTATGTAATAAAGATTATGTATGTGTATGTTTACCGTTAACACTTAAAAAATTAACACATCTTTTTTTTTCTAGGTTGGCATTGGAAACATTTTTATTTGCAGTTATTTTGTCTACTTTTACTACTGTACCTTGCTTATGTTTGTTAGGACCAAACCTCAAAGCATGGCTAAGAGTTTTCAGTAGAAATGGGTAAGTTTTAATTTTATATTATAATGATATTTGAAATTTTTAAAAAATTAATGAAGTATTTTTCTATTCATGTCAGTTTGCTGCTTATTCTCAGTGTTTCTCAGTGCTGATGGTGCTCAGAGATGCCTTAAGGGGTCACTGCAGTTGGACTGGGGACAGGACAGGCAGAACTACAAGCCCCTCCCTCCAGGTTAAGATCAGCTCTGCTGTTTTCTGTATAGTAGAATTCCACTTAGCCTTTTGTTTTTTTTTGTTGTTTTAAAAAAAAAAAAAGGAAATTAAAAAAATTTCTGCGTCCAAAAGAAAGCTTTGAAAACTGTGGTTCTGGGATAATTTGGCACTGTGATAAAATTGCTGTGAATAAAATTTCTTACCTACATTTTATAATGTAGAAGTGGGGTCCACAATCTAAAAATGTGTTGTGTAACAATGATAATTTCTTGTTTAGCCTTTTTCGTGGTAAGAGAGAACAAGTTTTATGGGATTTCATTTCCTTAGTGTCTGTATGTGTTTTCAGCATGGTTAAGTTAAAACTTAAGCTTCTTGAAAGTCATTGAAATGATATGCACCAGAAACAGTGGAGATCTAGCTAAGAAAGCCAGAAGGTTATTTGATTCTGTCCTGTTTATCACCCAGTAGCAAAAACTTCTTCAGCACTTACTCTGTGCTCTGTGTTATGCTAAGCTGTGTGGATTCTGAAGTATAGGGAGGATTCTTTTGCCGAGGAGCTTAGATGTTCAAGGGACAAAAATGAAATGAGCAAATAATATAAGATTACAATTGTGTAAATTCAGCAATAAGTGCTGTACAAACTCAGAGGTGAGGGAATTGCTTGAACCCGGGAGGCAGAGGTTGCAGTAAGCTGAGATCACACCACTGTACTCCGTAGTGAGACTGTCTCAAAAAGGAAAAAAAGGAATTAGTACTGTTTGTTCTCTCTTGAAAAGATCTTCTAATATTCATAAAGTCTGTAGAAAACAAAAGTTTAACAACTGAAAGCATTTTCTGCATTGTTACCATAATATCCCAAATGGAAATTAATTTCTTTTAAACTTTTAGTTTGAAATTTTTAAACAGTGTAATTAGATTGAAATCGTATTAGTTTGGATTAGTGATTTCTCCAGTTTTCAATTCTACATCCAATGGTGTGTTTGGGGGATACTGTCATGTGATTTTACAATTACTTCTATTATAATGTGGTATGTTTATTCCTAAAGATCACTACACTGTACAAAAGGGCAATAAAACCACAGAGCTTATGGGAAAGATGGGGTTAGAGCATAACACTGAAACAATTCATTAGTGACCGGTAAAGAGAAGATGGGAACTTAATAAAAATGGTAGCACAGTTTTACACGTGTTAAATGTTAAGAAATAACAGGCATACCTCATTTTATTGCTTCTCATTTTATTGTACTTCTCAGATATTGCTCAGATAGTGTTTTTTATAAATTGAAGGTTTGTGGCAACCCTGCATCAAGCAAATCTATCATTTTTCCAATAGCATGTGTTCTCATCGTTGGAAACTCTCACAATATTTCACGCTTTTTCATTATTATTATATCTGTTATGGTGATCTGTTATCTTTGCTGTTACTTATTACAATTGTTTTGGGGCACCATGGATCATGCCCATATAAGATGGTGATCTTAATAAATGTAAATGTTGTATGTGTTCTGACTGCTCCACCTACTGACATTCTTTCTCTTGCACTCTCTTACTTTCTCCTCTCTTTCTCTCTCTCTCTCTCTTTCTCTTTCTCTCTCTCTCTCTCTCTCTCGCCTCCCTGAGATACAAAAATATCAAATTTAGGCCAGTTAATAACCCTACTATGGTCCCTTAAGCGTTCAAGTGAAAGGAAAAAGTTCTGTCTCTCACTTTAAATCAAAAGCTAGAAATGATTAAGCTTAGTGAAGAAGTTAGGTTTTAAAAAACTGAGATAGACTAAAAATGAAGCCCCTGTGCCAAATAGCCAAGTTGTGAATGCAAAGGAAAGGTTCTTAAAGGAAATTTAAAGTCTACTCCAGTGAACACATGAATGACAAGAAAGTGGAACAGCCTTATTGCTGATGGGGAGAAAGTTTTAGTGGTCCAGACGGAAGATCAAACCAGGTACAACATTCTAAGTCACTCTCTAATCCAGAGTAGAGCTCTAACTCTCTCCAATTCTCTGAAGGCTGAGAGAGGTAAGAAAGTTCCAGAAAAGTTTGAAGCTAGCAGTGGTTGATTCATGAGGTTTAAGGAAAGAAGCCATCTTCATCACATAAAAGTGTAAGGTGAAACAACAAGTGCTGAAGTAGAAGCTGCAGTAAGTTGTCTGGAAGATCTAGCTAAGACCATTGGTGAAGGTGGCTAAACAACAGATTTTTAATGTAGACAAAACAGCCTTCTATTGAAAGAAGATGCCATCTAGGACTTTTATAGTTAGAGAGGAGAAATCAGTGGCCAGCTTTAATGCTTGACAGGCTGACTCTCTTGTTAGGGACCGGTGCAGCTGGAGACTTTTAAGTTGAAAACGCTAATTTGCCATTTTGTAAATGGTAAGAATTTACACATTTAGAGTTATGCTAAATCTACTTTGCCTGTATACTGTTAATGGAACAACAAAGTCTGGATGACAGCACATCTGTTTATAACATGGTTTACTGAATATTTTAAGCTTACTGTTGGGACTTACTGCTCAGAAAAAAAAAAAAAAAAACCTTTCAAAATATTGCTGCTTATTGACAATGTACCTAGTCAACCAAGAGCTCTGATGGAGATGTACAAGGATATTAATGTTTTTTTTCGTGACTACAACACAAGATCCATTCTGCAGCCCATGGATCAAGGAGTAATTTTGATTTTTCAAGTCTTATTACTCAAGAAACACATTTTGTAAGGCTATAGCTGCCATAGATAGTGATTCCTCTGTTGGGTTTGGGAAAAGTAAGTTGAAAACCTTCTGAAAAGGATTCACCGTTCTAGTTGGATGCCATTAAGGAAATTTGTGATTCATGGGAGGAGATCATAATATCAACATTAATGAGAAATTGATTCCAATCCTCATGAATGATGTTGAGAGGTTCAGGTCTTCAGTGGAGGAAACCACTGCAGATGTGGAAATAACCAGAGAACTAGAATTAGAACTGGACCCTGAAGATGTGACTGAATTGCTGCAACATTATGATAAAACTTTAACAGATGAGGAATTACTCCTTTTTGGATGAGAGATAAAGTGGTCTTCTGAGATGGAATCTACTGAAGATACCATGAATATTGTTGAAATGATAACAAAGGATTTAAGATATTACATAAACTTAGTTAATAAAGCAAAGCAATGGCAGGGTTTGAGAGAGTTGACTCCAGTTTTGAAAGAAGGTCTGCTATGGGTAAAATGCTATCAAACAGCCTGGCATGCTACAGAGAAATCTTTTTGTAGGAGGAAGAGTCAATTGATGCAACCGACTTCATGGTTAAAATTTCATTTTAAGAAATTGCTGGCTGGGCGCAGGTGGCTCTTGTTTGTAATCACTGTGTTTTGGGAGGCTGAGGCAGGCAGATCATTTGAGGTCAGGAGTTGGAGACCAGCCTGCCCAACATGGTGAAACTCCATCTCTATTAAAAATACAAGAAAAATTAGCTGGGCGTGGTGGTAGGTGCCTGTAATCCTAGCTACTTGGGAGGCTGAGAATTGCTTGAATCCAGGAGGTGGATGTTGCAGTGAGCCAAGATCACTCCAGTGTACTCCAGCCTGAGCGACAGAGCACGACTCAGTCTAAAAAAAGGAAATTGCCACAGCCTCCCCAACCACCCACCCTAATCAGTCAGCAGCCATCAACATCAAGGCAACACCTTTCACCAGCAAAAAGATTACAACTTGCTGAAGGCTCAGATAATCATTAACACTTTTTAGCAATAAAGTATTTTTAAATTACATACATTTAAAAAACAAAGTGCTAAAAATGAAAAAAATAAAAATAAAAAACATAATGCTATTGCCCACTTAATAGACTACTATATAATATAAATAACTTTATATGCACTGGGAAACCAGAAAATTTATATGATTCACTTTATTGTACAATTTGCTTTATTCTGGTGATCTGGAACCAAATCTGCAATATCTACAAGGTATACCTGCACCCAAATATTACAGTAATCATGGCACTTTTCCTTGGAAAAGGTTTCCTTGGCAAAGGTTTGCTTCTGGAAGTAGACATGAGAAGGGTTGACTGTTGTGAGTTATTGTGAAGTGGCGAGATGGTTGTTGGAAATCTGAGGGAAAATGAACACCAGATGTGAGTGTGTGTGGCTCATGACATGTAGTAAACTGAGGTAGCCGGGAGATGGGTATTTTTAAAAACAGTGTTGAGATATAATTCCCATACCATATACAGTCACCTATTTAAAATATACAACTCAGTGGTTTTTTACAACCACTAATGCACTTACTATTTCTATAGATTTACCTATCTGGAAATATAAATGGGGTCTTATAATATGTGATTTTTTGTGACTGCCTTTTACTTAGCGTAATGTTTTCAAGGTTCACCTCTGTTGTAGCATGCTTCAGTATTTTGTTCCTTTTTGTGGCTGAATAATATTCCATTGTATGGATATATACCAAATTTTGTTTACCCGTTTATCAGTTGATGGACATCTGAGTTCTTTCCACATTTTGGCTGTTGTGAGTAAGGTGCATCAAACATCTGTGTACAGGTTTTTGTATGGACATACATGTTTATTTCTCTTGGGTATGCCTAGTAGAGTGAGATTCCTGGGTCAAACGGTAGTGTTAAGGGTTTGAGAAGCAAGCACCAGTTTTTAAACTCTATAAAGCGCAGTTTGGTAGCATCTGTAAAAATTACAAATATACTTCTTTGACCCAGCAATTCTACTTCTTGGATTTTATCCAGTAGATATTATACTTGCATACTAACAAAATGTTGAATATATAAGATTACTTATTTCAACATTGAAAACAACCTGCATATCCTTTAGTAAGGGATAGGGTTAGA